CATGTCCTATTGGCCTGAGCACCGCAGGCAGAGCCAGGCACTGCTGGTGCATGCTTCCTCAGGGTCACTCCCACAAGACGCTATGCTGTCCCTGGGTGGCTTTGAGTCTGTGGCTACTTAAGCCACAATTTCCTAAGACATTTGAGCATACCAGTACCCCCAAGAATCCCCTTCTCTCTGCCCCAGGGTGGAGCATCATTTTAGGTTTCTTGCGGGGGAGGGGAGTTTGTTTTAAAATGCAAAGTACATAATTTTTGCCCTTTTTAAAATTATGATATTGTGGGGTACAGTTAAGGGTTAGGTATACAAATATGTTTCGTTCAGGCATCCTTGTTGATAAGAGGTGTTTCCCCATCCCCAGACAGATATTTGCTACCGTTAATCCCATCTCCCTCCCCTCCCATAGTGTCCCACTACTATCAGTCATTTTCTTATAGTATTACATTGGATGTTCAAGGTCCATTATATGAGTGAGAACTTGTGATACTCGGATCTTTGTTTCTGTGAGAGGTCACTCAGTATTATAGACTCTAATTCCATCCAGGTTGCTGCGAAATTCATGAAAGTTCTAAATATCAACCTCCCATATGACCCCACAATCCCCCTACTGGGAATATACCCTGAAGAACTCAAATAACTCTATAAAAAAGATACCTGCACACATATGTTTATCGCAGCATTGTTCACAATAGGGAGAACCTGGAAGCAACCATGCTGCCCATCAAAAGAGGACTGGATTAAAAAAATGTGGTACATATACACGATGGAATACTATGCAGCCATAAACAAAAAAGTGAGTTTTTAAAAAAAATTTTGTTTTTTGTTTTAGGTTGTAGTCTCATTCTGTTGCCTAGGCTGGAGTGCAGTGGCATGCTCATGGCCACCGTAGCCTTGACCTCCTGAACTCATGCAATCCTTCCACCTTAGCCTTCCAAGTAGCTGGAATTACAGGTGCTCGCCACCACATTTGGCTAAATTTTTTATTTATTGCAGAGACGAAGTCTCACCAACTTGCCCAGGCTAGTCTTGAACCCCCCAGCTCAGGCAATCCTCTGGCCCAGGCCTTCCAAAATGCTGGGATTAGAGGCATGAGTCATCATGCCCTGCCAAACAGTGGAGAATTTTAACAAGACTGCTGCTTGTGTTGGCTGCGGAGGCTAGCCAACTGGGACACCGCTGGCCCCGTGGTGGACAACTGAGTCAGAGCTGGGAAGTGAAATGCTGTAGGCTCCCTCTTCTACTCTGTCTATAAGGCTAGGTGAATGGGACAGTTGGAAAGGAAGACAAGGTAGAAAATGGTCCAACAAGCTATCACAAAGCCCAAGCAATACTGGCCTCATTATGATCACCATATTAGGTGATTTAGGAAAATAAAACCTTTCTTGAAAAGAATCCCTAAGCCTATTCCATAGGCTTGAAGAATACCATAGCATAGGTAATTTGGTGACAGAATTAATCATAGGGCCCTTCAGTAACTGTTATTGTTCGCAATGTGGCACCCTCCACCCCTATGACCAGAAACAGTACTAAGGAAATTCAAACGAGTATTTCCAACTGGCCTTTCAGACCCCTCTTCCTTTTTGCAGATAGGGATAGTTTGGGTATTACCTTTGGGTTGCAATATAGGATGACTCCCCCATCAGGCCCATGGATAAACCCCCACATTCGCCTCAGAAGCAGTGGATGAGGTGGCAGGGCTGGGTAGCTTATGCCCAGGATTTTGGGAGTGTCGCCATGTGCACAAGGATGAGCATCATTGTATTGCTTTGCATAGGTTTGAGCGATTCCATCCAAGGTTGAGGAAAATTGAGGGCAGCTGGGAGCCCCAGAACTGATGGAATTTCCTAACTGCAGCATCTTCTGACCTTAGAAGGGAAGGGGAGCTCCCTTTCAGGAAACAGACCAAGTCCTTTAAGGAGGTGAGTTTTCAGCTGAGGCGTAGAGGGAGTGCAACTCACTGTCCACTCTGCCCATATTCATCCCCTTCCCTGAGCATCTATGCCATCTAATACTGCACCATATCATATGCACAAGGACTTCACTCACTTACCAGACCTTATCTAGTTCTAACTTGGTTAAACACACAATTCTAGTGTAGGTTGGCTATTTCCCCTCAGTCTTCAAGAGATTAGAAACAACCAATTATCTATGTGCCAGACAGGCGTATTTACCCTTAGAAAGAAAAATAACATTCATTCCACAAATACCAGGGGTGCCAAAAAATGTATACACATTTTTTTTGAGTTGGAGTCTCACTCTGCTACCCAGGCTAGAGTACAGTGGCATGCTCACAGCCACTGCAGCCTCGACCTGCTGGTTTCGGACGATCCTTTCACCTCAGCCTTCCAGGTAGCTGGAACCACAGGCAAGTACCACGATGCCTGGCTAATTTTTTGATTTATTGTAGAGATGAGGTGTCACCAAGTTGCCCAGGCTGATCTCGAACCCTGGGCTCAGAAAATATTCTCACCTCCACCTCCCAAAGTGCTGGAATTACAGGCATGAGCCACCACGCCTGGCATGTATACACGTTTTAAGTGACGTTATCTATTACTTTTAGTTCAACTCAAGTGGAACCAAGAGCCCAGCCTTCAAGATGGCCTCTGATAATTCCTTTCTTTGGGTATTCACACCTTTGTGTGTTTCCCTCCCATGCTCAATCAGATTGACCTGTCTAACCAATATATTGTGGAATGATAGTGTGACATTTAAGGCCAAGTCATGAAGGATAATGCAGCTTCCGCCTTGTACTCTTGCATCAGCTGCTCTGGCAGAAACCACTTGCCATGTCATGAGGACATTCAAACAATCTCCTGGATATGCTCATGTGGTAGGTGAGGAACTGAGACCTCCTGCCAACAGTCACACGATGACCCATCCTGGAATTGAACCCTCCAGCTTCAGCCAAACTTTCACATAACTGCAGTGCCAGCTGACTTCATCTGATGACCCTCATGAGACAACCTGAATAAGAACTGCCCAGTTACGCTGTACCCAAATTCCTGACTCACAGAAGCTAGGAAATAATGTTTGCTGTTTTAACATGATATGCTTTGGTGTAGTTTTTTAGGTAGTCATAGATAACTGATACACAAAAAGAAAAATCAGAAGCGTTTGAGTTTATGAAAAGTAAATAGACTATGTTTCAGGGAGAGAGTGAACAACTCTGTCAAGTACTGTGGAGTGGCCAAGGATGTCTCATACCAGATGACAATAAAGCCCACATATTGATAATGAATTTCATTTTGATATCTTGATTAAGGGGGGAAGCCCCCCATAACAAACACCTTAGGATGTTCAGTATGCTTGGTCTGTAGTTTTATCATTCCTTTGAAGGATGTTATTAAAAACATGTTATGAAAACCTGTGCCACCTCTCAATGAAAATGAATATGTTTTACTGAACTCATCACTATCAGTCACCTTCTCACATGGACATGCTGTGTCATGACTAGAATGCAAGTTTGCAAAGGGTAGAGAAACCTGCCCTACTACACTGAGCGTTAGGCATGCTGTGGGTACTCGCACAAGTTAACCCCAAACTAAAGCAAAGACTTCTTTATGATCGGAAAGACTGCAAACACATTTTCCTAAAAACAATCACTACCACCACCTCATATTTACATTGCAATTTATATATTAAAGTACTTCCACCACATCTTGTTTTATGCTCACAACAACCTGTGAGGTGGGTGGGTTTATAGAAAGAGCAAATATGGTCAGTCCCAGCTCCTGAATGAGGAAACAGTTCTAAAGAGGCCCCAGTTATTTGGTTAAGGCCACCCCAAATATTCATGGTGTAGGTCTTCTGGCATCAATTCAGAGCTTTTTCCAAAACATCCAGGCAACATTCAATAGGGACCACTCATCCATTTGTATGTGTTCTACAAATACTCTCAGAATAACTCTAGCATAACTTTCTACAGCAATCTATCCTCCTTATAATGTTTCCATACTATCCTTTCTGTAGCTGGAACCATGAAATGAGTAAAGATGCTCTGTCTTCTTCCCACTTTGGTGCCTATGCAAGAGAGTAACTTGGACATCTTCCATAGCTGTCCCATGTGTGACAAGTGCTGCCTTTAAGATTTCCTCCAACAAGGAGCCACAATTCTTTCCAGTAAAACAAAATGAAAACAAAAACTAGCCTTATTAGAGTTATTCTCCATGTTTTGATTTAAAATGGCATCATTAGCTTAATCACCTCCTCTAATCATCAGATTTTTAGCTGTTTCCTAAGCTTCAATCTATCCTCAGAGGCTAAAACTTTACAAACTCTAAAAGTATATTAAAATACACTTTTAGGCACTGAGGGCACACCCAAAGACATTCCAGAAAGTTCAGTAGCAACAGCCCCTCTTAAGAGGATATTCAGAGGATGAAAACCCTCATAAAGAATGTAAACTAATAGAATAAAAATAATGGCTATGTGTGTTCAGTAGCACTTTATATGTTTTGTCCTTTAATCCTCAAAAGATTCCTATGGGATAGGATAAAAATCTATTTGTATAAACATCCAACATTACCATGTGGTTACATAGGCACAATGCCCCTAAGTCACAAAAGGCAAAAGTTAATTCCTAAAACTTATACTAGGAAGATTTAATGCCTCCTCTGAAGTAGCCACCAGCTGCTGAGAGTGTTGGTCTGTTAGAGATCTGGGCCAATTTAGTGTTTTTCACACATTTTCAAGCTCTGAGTTTTAGTCCATTTTAAGTAGATGCAAAGTGTATAAAATGAAAATAAGTTCACTTTTTCTTCTGAGAAAGTCAAGTAAGACATTTCCAACCTACCTAAGCCTATGTCTATGGCTCCAAACTGACTTCTATTGCACCTACCTGAAAAAGAAGGACACAGGAAATCAAATTCCAAACTTGTATTTATTTTTTTTCCCCATCAAAATTAACACAAGGAGGTAAGAAATAAAGATTTCATCCAAGAACTTATTCTTAAGTAGCAATTTGAAGAGCCAAAGTTTGGTACCAGATAATACTGTATGTATTTAAAAACTCGTGTTTCTTGTAAAACACATCAACAATGGTGATCAGCTCTTTATTTCTAGCCACTCCTTCATAGTAACAGCATCACAGAAGGAGGCAGCCAGATGAGAACTGCTAAAGCCACGAGGAAGACCAATAGCCCATCCCAAACAAGACACTCTGAGTCACGACTTCCAGAACCTCTGCCATGACCGTGGGTTTTAAACCACTCTACTACTTCTTGGAGGTCAAATGGCTGAGCCTTATAACCTAGCTCTTTCTTGGCTTTCTCTAAGCTAAAATAATGTGTGACACCAGTTTTGTAAACTTCAGTGCGGGTGAGGAAGGGCTGGAAATTGTAGAGGCGGCCCAGAATGAAGTGGGCCATCTCTGTCAAGAAAGCAAAGCAGTAGACGAGGGTCAACGGCAGGCGGGTGGATGGGAATGTGTAGCCCAGGCCCTCAACCAAAGGTCGGAAGAATTCAAAGTTGTTCACTGGTCTGCCATCGGAGATGAAGTAGGGTTGCCCAGAGGCAATATGGCCCTTATCAGCTTTCAGGGCCTCTGAGGCCAGAATATGAGCCTGCACCAAGTTATCCACATGGACAAACTCAACCAGGCTCCTGGGATCCCCATAGACAAACTTGAACAGACCCTTCTCAATGTAGCTCACTATCCTGGGAAGGTGTCTTTGTTCTCCAGGCCCATAGATGCCAGCCGGTCTCAGAGCGCAGGTTCTTAAGACACCATCACCTCTTTCCAGGGATGTGCCATTCGCCTCCAGCACCTTCTTCTCTGCAATAGATTTGGTCCGAGAGTAGTGATCAGGATGGAGGTGAAGAGGTAGGTAAGGCAGAGATTCATCTCCATTTCTGATAACTTGACCTCCAAAGATGACATTGAAAGTACTGGTGTAAACTAACCTAGGCACCCCTCTTCTCTGGCAAGCCTGAAGGACGTTGTCTGTGCCCCCGATGTTGACTTCTTCGATCAGGTTTTGCTCCAGTTGCTCCCGCCCTGACATACCATAAGAGGCAATATGGAACACACAAGTGATGTCCACATCCTGGAAGACCTTCTCTACATCAGAGAGGTGGCGGATGTCTCCACATATAAACTTGATTCCTTCTGGAATGTTCTGAGCAGGCCTGCGGATGTCAAACAGAATCACATGGACTCCCTTTTGGTTCAGAGCACAGCCTAGGCTGAAATGAGAAAGAGTAAAAGTCAGATCAAGTAACTCTTAAGCTGTGCTTAGGAGAAGTGTAACTTGCCAATCAGGTGGGGGCTGATACAAGTCTTTTCGGCTCATCCTGAGTCCCTTACTTTACGTGTTCATTGGTGCAAGTCTTACTTATTCAAAGTTTCAAAGATGAGAATCCTTTCATCCACTTCAATTATGATGAGAGAGGCTTTATTTTTAAAGAATGGTGGCATCTCTATATTATATTTTTGCCTGTCTGTTCTAGGACCCACTATCCATTTGGAGTATTTATGAATAGTATCATAATGGTGAAAGAATAGCTATTATTTTAAATTGTTTTTAGTGATGTGAATAATAACTTCTCCCCAATTTAATAGCTTTATAAATAATTTTTCTTAAAGCATAATATAGCTGTAGTTCTCAATTTCAATGTCTGAACAGTGGGCAACACAATTCACTTCTGCTTTAACATTATATAATCAAATATATAGGTCTGCACTGTATTAATGTCAGAGTTGAAAGCTATACATTTTCTATCAACTACCAGTAAAATAATTCTATAGGCATATTTTATAGATGCACTGACCGGAAACCAAAATAGCCACCTCCTCCTGTAATGAGGACAGTTTCATGTGGAGATCCTTGGGAATCCATATTTGGTAGTCAACAGATAACTGGACCTATAAGAAAAAAGCATGCAGCACTATTACAATCCAACTGTAAATATAATTCTCCTCAGTTTTGAGTTAATAAAAACAGTAAGTCAATATGCTCTAGTAGAACAAAAAGCTAAGGCTTGGGCCTAGGCATAGCTAGATGATGTTAACCAACCCTGGTGATGTTAGCCACCCCTCTTCACTTCCTGGGCTTCGCATTTCTTCACATGTAATATGGGAACAGTAATACCTGCTCTGCCTGCCTGACAAGGTCAAAGTGAAGGTCACATAAGATAATGTACCTGAGAGTGTTGTGAAAACTACAAAGAGCTTTTCAAATGTAAGGCATTATTGTTTATTCTTGGAAAAGATAAAACTCTTTGGAAAGAATTCAATCAAATTTAGTAGCAAGAGACATTTCCCCCAATACGTCAGAAAAATCAAAGCCAAACTCTAAAGAAAGCATCCAACATTTTTTGTTTAAAATAGCACACTGCAATATGGTTTGTTTAGTAATTTCATTAATCCTTGCAAGTAGTTTAAGTGCAAGGGCTCAATGCCTTTGTGGGGGGGGTGTCCTAGTTTTCCCTCTCTTGTCCTCTATATCTCCCTAAATTCCTCTTAAGGCTCCAAGACTCCCTTCTCCCCAAAACAAAGCAAAAAGTGGGCCACTTCCATGTGAGAAGGAAAGAAGAGAAACAGGAGGCACCGGGGTCCTTAAAGGCACTGGGAATACACACACATACACAAACACATGTTCAGGTTAGATGCAGACTCTCAGGTGTGGTTAGGCAGGGAGACTAAGCAACTAAGAGCCCTACCACTGCCCCCTCCCAGTTGGGTACCTGTGACTACAGCTACCACACCATATGAGTGGGAACAGCAGAGATTAGGGTTATGTAGTATGAAGAGCTCGTGTGGCAGAGAGGCAGTGTGAAGTCAGCTTTGTACAAGGAAAGAAAAAATATGGGGGATAGGAAGACACAGTGGAGATGTCTTGTCTCTGCCCCTAAATGGTTATGTGATCCTGGCCAAGACACTACACTTCTCTAGACTTCACTTTTCTTTTCCATCAAGTTGTGTGCTGTTCTGTGTTATAGGGACTCTAAGGTTTCTAAAAAAGCAGCAAGGTGAGTGGAAATAATAATGACAAATACATACACACTGCTTACTACTAGGGACAGGCAGCATGCTAAGTACTATATATATTATATATAAGCTAATATATATAACAGATATCAGATACATATAGCTAATACCTAGATACATATCTCTCTGTCTATTAGCTATTTAATCTTTTTGATAATCTTACCAGGGAAGTACTATTAGCAACCTGGCTTTCAGTTGAGTAAAATCAAGCACAGAGAGGGTAAAAAGCTTGCCCAACTTTACCTGGATTCACACCCACTGGTAGGTTGGCCCCAGGAGTCCATGCTCTTAACCACTAAAACATACAGTCTCAAATAGAAAGAGGATGGACTTTAGAGTCCACTTAACCGGCCATATGACCTTGGACCAGTTAATCACTCTGAACCTGCTGCTTCATCTAAAAGGTGGAGCTGATAAGCTCACAGCCTTATACACGGGACAATGTATTAAAAAATGTCCAACAAAACACCTGACATAGTAGGAGCACTCCACAGATGTCATTTCTCAAACTGCGTTTTCTTCACACTCTAAAGTTTTTGGACTCAATTAGTCTATTACATTTTCACATACTATGATAATATCTCTCAAAAGCACATGATTACAAAAAATCTGACAAGATGTTCTGGATACCTGCAGGAGTGTATCAGATTGCCAGTGAAGCGAATCAGATCATTCATGCAGAATCAGCCAGTGTGACAACTGAAGACAAGTTTCAGCAAGTGACTGTTTCAATAGCTTGAGGAAAAAAGAGTGAGAAATGCTACGGATACTGAGTAAAATGGTGCAGATGGCTGATGAGTTCCAAAGCTTCCACTAAACACTTGCCACAGTCAAGCTTGTAAGAAAATTCATGAAGAATGCACCAGTACGCTCTCAGCACACCTAATGGTGAGTTTTTGAGTCTATTGTTTTCAAGCGCAGAACACTCCCATTTGGATTTGGAGTAGCCATAAAACCAAATGTAGTCAATTATATTATTTACTGTAATCACATGAGTTCATGATGAACGCTGTTTCCAAACAACAGTAGACATCAGTTACTGATATTTCAACCCAGACTTCTTACCTTCACCTCCATGACCTGGTTCCAACCCCCTACTCTCCCATCACTGGTACTCTATGCTCCAACCATATGGATTGCCTTTCCTTTTTTAAAAGACACCGGTCCCCAACTTTTTTGGCAACAGGGACGGGTTTTGCAGAAGACAATTTTTCCATGAACCATGTGGAATGGCAGGAGCGTTTCGGGTTGATTCAAGCACATTACATTTATTGTGTACTTTATTTCTATTCTTATTACAGTGTTATAATGAAATAATTATATAACTCACCATAATGCAGAATCATTGGGAGCTCTGAGCTTGTTTTTCTGCAACTAGACAGTCCCATCTGGGGGCGATGGGAGACAGTGACACCTGAAGTGTGTTGCTTATGTCTAGCCTACTCTGTAATCTCGTTTTGGTGGTTGTCATTGTAGAAAACTGCTTTACAATGATAGGATGTTGGAAGTGGAAGCAGGTTTTTCAGTGCTGATCTGACAGGAGGCAGAGCTCAGGCAGTTACGTAAGCATTGGGGAGTGGCTGTAAGTACAGATGAAACTTCACTTGCTCACCACCTGCTGCTCACCTCCTGCTGTGTGGCCTGGTTCCTAACAGGCCACAGACTGGTACCGGTCCATGGCATGGGGACTGGGGACCATGCTTAAGGATGGTGAGCTCATTAGTGCTTCCTGCCCTCACCTCAGTGTGACACACCTGCCACCAGGTCCTTGCCTGGCAGCGTCTTTCTTAATATTTAGGTCCGCTCATATGTCATGTACTCAGAGAGGCTTCTCTGATCACCCAATCTAAACGCGCTCCTGTAGCCTAAATGCTGCTTTGTTTACATCATGGTATGTTTAACTATCTAAAATGACTTTCTTTTTTATTATTGATTTCCTTCCCACAGAATGTAAGTTCCATTAGACCTGAGACCTTTCACCTTCTGGAGTGTCCCTATCAGAACCCAGAGAACACAGGAGAAGCTCAATAAATATCTGTTGAATTTACGGATGATTCTGAACACTGTAAAATCTATCCAATTTAGTGAAATTGTGAAGGGCACAAATTATGCAGGGTCCTGCAGTGTCTAAGAGTCATTGCTATGCATGGCAATTAATGCTGCCATTTTAACGTAATGTTCCTCCTAAAAAGTGCTGGCTTACGGAATGAAAAAGATACAAAGCTAAAAGAGACAGCTCCTGAGTTCTGGAGCTTACAACAGAGGAGAGAGGCTTCTGTAAACACCTAAAGGACAAGACAAAAAAGATGAAAAGAGCCGGGCTCGGTGGCTCAGCCTGTAATCCCGCGCCTTTGGGAGGCTGAGGTGAGTGGATGGCCTGAGCCCGTGGGTTCGAGACCCGCCTGGGCAGGTGAGACCTCATCTCTACAATAAAAAAAAAAAAAAAAAAAAAAAATCAGCTGGGCGTGGTAGCGCATGCCTGTAATTCCGGCTACTTGGAAGGCTGAGGCGGAAGGATCGCCGGAACCCAGCAGGCGAGGCTGCGGTGGCTGGGAGCGGCCACTGCACTCCAGTCTGGGCGACAGAGTGAGCCTCCAACTCAAAAAAAAAAAAAAAAAAAAAGATGAAAAGATTACTGCTATAATGTTGGTATAAACAAAGTACTGTGGGAACACCGAGGTGGGGGTGAGGAAACTGATTCTGACAGGGCAGATCAAGAAGACCTCATGGAGTAGTGAGCTTAGAGCTACAGGGTCCATGGGAAAATTTAGGTAGGCTGAGATGAGGGTTACTATAGGCTGAGGGTGTATCACAAACAGACCAGTGACAGGACTGCCTGTGCTCGGCAACTCACAAGGTGAGTCCACCAAGGCTGGTGTGCAAACTGAGGCCACAGTGGTGCCTTAGGGTGGAAAGACAGCTGGGGGTTGGCTTGGAGACAGCCTTTGGTTCCCTTCTAGGGAGTCTGAACTCCATTCTGCAGACAATAGAAAGCCTTTGTAGGTTTGCTGCAGGGGACTGTGGAAAGCACCTTGGTCCTTGTGTAAGGGACGATGGAGAGCCTGGGAACAGGCCAGGGTCCAGGGAAGGGAGATAAGGATCTAGGTTGAAGGGTGATGGGTGAGGACCAAACGCCAATGTGCTCAGCTGCAGTCAGAGCAAGGGCTGGTGAGGGCTGTAAGCAGTGTCTAGGTGAAGTCCCAGAAAGGTGATGTCATGAACTGAAAACACAGTTTGGAAATGTTCTGTCTGGTTAATAGAGTTTTGATTAACAGGACACCAGATAACAGAGTTCAAGATATCCTTAATATCTCTGCAAAGAATTCTACTGTAAAGGATTCAGAAAATGGACAAGGCCTCCAGCAGCCCAATTAAAAAATTCCAACAGAAATACATCCTAATCTATAATTGCTCTTTGTTTTTGTTTATTTTTTATTTATTTTATTTTTTATTTTTTTGAGTTGGAGTCTCACTCTATCACCCAGACTGGAGTGCAGTGGTCACTCTCGGCCACTACAGCCTCAACCTGCTGGGCTCTGGTGATCCTTCCGCCTCAGCCTTCCGAGTAGCCAGAATTACAGGCACACGCTACCACGCCCAGTTAATTTTTAAAAAAATTTATTGTAGAGATGAGGTCTCGCCAAGTTGCCCAGGCGGGTCTCGAATACGCGGGCTCAGGTAATCCACTCACCTCAGCCTCCCAAGGCGTGGGATTACAGGCTGAGCCACCGAGCCCAGCTTGCTCTTTGTTTTTAAAAGCACACATTCCAATCTAGTCATAAGACCACAGGCTAATCATGGTTCATTGGTCAAGTCAGGAATGTACAATTTCAGATTATTAATGCTTCAGAAACCTGCCAAGCCGATTGATGCTA